AAATCCCAGTGTGGAGCAGAGTCTCTTCGCTGTCTCAGTCCTGCATGTAAAACGCAGGGTGGGCATGGCTGGTTGTTTGCTCCTTACTTCTCCACAGAGAATGAGCACATGAGAGACCACGCTTTAAAACTGATCTCCTCTTCACGTGAGGTTGACATACCATGTCTACCTGCAGGAGAACTGTGCTGAGGAGAAAGGTGCAGGAAGGGCTCCTAACGCTGTCCTTGTGAGAAGAGTCAGTGCAGCCACAGGCTGCCAAGCGGCTCTCCGCAGATGTCTGTGCTGCCTTGCCTAAGGCCACAGTGGCAACCAGGTTCCTCAGAAGCTTGATTGTGCGAGAAGGGTCTCACGTGGGGCTCTGCAGCTGAGAAGGGGAAGTGCAGAGACGCAGACCCATCCCTACCCCCACCCAGAGGGGTCTCTGAACTGGGGGAGACCAGGATTTGCATGTTTGCTGCAGACTCTGAAGACTCTTGGAAAGAAGACTGGGCCAGATTGTGATATTTGGTACTGGCCTAGGCTGAGTAATCTAGAGGGGAAAGATGTTATGGCCCCCAGCCAGCCAGCAAAGCCGCTGCCCATGGTAAGCAGAGGCACGGTCACGCTGAAAGGAGCCAGCACCTCTCTGCTCTCTCCCATCCATTGCCCGTGCCAGCGGGCCTGGTCCGGTGTTGTGCCAGATAAAAACTTTGTGGATACCAAAGGAAGCACTGTGCTTTCCTTACTAGCCATGGGCGAGAGGAGCAAGGAGGTGCCTCCAGGCTCCCACAGCCATGTGCAGGGAGCCCTGAGGGAAAAACTAATAAGCAAACAATCACTTTTCTTCATCAAAATCTAATTTCTAATCTTCCGAACCTAATTTCTAATTACACTGTTGTTCCCAACAAACATAAATCAGAGACTAACCAGGAGCTGTGAATCACAGGTGGCTCCTCCTCATGCTTTAAAAAGCAGGAGAGGAAAAAGAATAAAGACTCACAAGGCCGCACTGTTTTGTTATCACAGCAAACCTGCTCTCTAGCTCCTGTCAAGCTGTTTTGTTTGAAGTGAGAGGGACTGAAAGCCACAAACGCATAGGAGAGGGTGTGAAGGCAGAGGTGACCCACAGAAAGTTTCCCCTGGCTGCTTTCCATTATTGAGATGCTCACCACAAACAGCTCTGCCACGGGTGTTGCTGTGGGGACACACTCGACAGCTCCACACAGCACTGACTAAGTGCGTGTTTATGGCCAAAGCAAGGCACGCTCAAACAAAAGCATTTGAAAACCAGGAAATGCAGGATGAGGGCCCTCAGAGCAGGCACTATCAAACTGTCTTAACTCTGCCCCTTGCTGTTGGATCAGGAGCATGCCAAGTCGGTCATCTATAGCGGGGTCTGGTATTAATCAGCAGCCACAAGAAGAGGAATGCTTCAATGTTATTTGCATACCGCTTTTGCTGATTTACAGCCCTGTCGGCAGTGACATACCATACAAACAATATTATCAGTTATTTGCAAGAAGAGAATTTTACAAATTCCTCTCTAGACAAACACTGTTGAGGGCTACCATTTCCAAGCCCTTGCATCTGGCCAGCTGCTTAATATCAGGGTGCCTCATGCCTTCCGGGTTGTGATAAGCATTTGGGGAAGCAGGGCTGAGGCCAGTGTCCCAGCTGGCCGCAGTCCTGAAGAAGGTTTTGCATGCCCAAAAGCCTGGCTGTTTTTTCCAATTATGTCAGTAGGGCTAATAAAAGTGATTACCTCTTCCTATCAATCCTGCCTTTCTCATTGATCCCACAGGCCGTTCTTCAAATGTCACCCAGCAAGGAGGGAGCACACATCCAATTATGAAAGGAGAAAAGATTAGCGTGATGACAAAGCAGCGGGGTCAGTGGCAGCAATGTGCTGCATGAGACAAATGAGATGTGCCTTGTTTTGACACCCTCCAAGCCAGAGGACCAGAAGGAGGCATTCTGGAGTAAGCAGAGTCCTTGCACTTCAGGCAACCAATATAGGAAATGCAAACTTAACTCTTTTCCTAACCTTTCTTTGGAGATTTGGTATTACGTTTGTTTAAATAAGAAACCTCAAACATACTTCAAAGCTAATAACCACTCCAAAGCACAGATATGGGCATGAAAATCTCAAAAGCAATACAGTTGAGTTGTGGGTGATGAAATTTATTTTTATGTGGGGCCAAATCCTGCCTTTATTTTGAACCTGTGTTCACTAGTCCCATTTGATGTGGACCATGCAAAGCCAAGCGCAGAAATCAGCTTGTGCCAATGGTCTACCCTGACACACCTCATGTAAGTGAGCAAAGATTAGTCAAGCAAGTAAAGAGCTGCAGAACCTAGGAAGAAAAATCAGCCTTTCTCTACTTCCTTCACCACACCCTTAACCACTACAGAGGCTCAAGACTCTTTGAATAAAGCACAACAAAGGCACAATATTTAGATAGAAGCTGGGCTTGCTGATTTCTGCACCCTGGGCCACAGAGATTTCCAGAGTCTGGAAGCAGGTTCTGGAGAAGGATATAGGAATGCTACCAGGGAGCATGGGTTTCTCCATGTACCAGATGCCCTTGTTGAACCGCTTGTGCCAAAGCAGAGAGATCAGCTTTGACTGTCCCAGAGTTGGTGTTTCCTACTGAATTCTCAAACCTGCTTCTCCTCCTTTCAAAACAGTGCTTCGTGCAAGGATGAATATTTGCTTGTCTGTTAGGAAGCCAAATCTTTTTAAAACTCTTTGGTTTACTGTTTGAATATTCCCAGATTTTAGCATAATCCACAGAAAACAGCACACTCACCAGGTTATTAGCAGAAACTTATCATGATCACCTTCTGGAGTTTTCTGATCAGCTCTTAAGAAAGAAGATGGAAAAGTGGGTTGAATATAATGTATAGTTAACACAAAAGCACAGGAAGTGCTTTTCCTTCCCCATTCTGCTCTGCTCTCCCAATATTGCATCTGATTTGTAGCTCCACTTCCCCAGCAGTTACTTGCAATATTTCTACTGCAAGGTGAATGCTTCTGGCCACTGGGCAGAGGGGGTGTGGGGGTACCTATGTGCACAGGAGCCAGAGATACTGCACCAAGCAAGTGCTAAAGGAGCTTATATTTATGTAGGGATCAGATCCTTAGCTGGCATAAAGTTAGTGAAGACCAATGGAGAGCAAATGACTTATGTCAGTGGGTTGCAGTTGTACCTATTGATTCAGATGTATATAAAGTATAGCCCTGTTTAGCTCAACAGTGGTCAGTTGAAACTCCTCATTTAGCTAAGGGCATTATTGTTTCTTAAGGTCATTAATGTTTCCTAGTCTTCCACTCACCCAAATCCCCCTGGTTTCCAAAGGCTTGGCATGTTTGCAGTAGAAAGAGGTATCCTGCAGATCTCTTTTTCATGTGTCTTTTTGTTAAAAACTCCAAAGCTTGCAGATGCCAAAGTGGAATATGGAAGCAGTACTGGAAGCTCATACTTAGAAAGATCCTTGCCTAGAGAGAAATCTCATACCACTGAAACTGCCTTTCATCTTATTTCCTGGTGCTGTCACCTCATTTTCCCCTCTGTTTTAAACTACAAAACTTCCTCTGTGTACAACCTGCTCTTCTCTATAAATAGCCCTAGGCTTAGCTCACGCAGTCCATGCATGACATGGGACACCTAGTGGTTTGCAGGGCCAGACCAGACAAGGTGTCTGGCTCTTCTGCCATGTGCTGGCACGGGCAAGAGAAACAGCAACTGCAGGCAGCTCCCCTCTGCAAGCCGTGCCTTGCACTTAGCACTTTTGCATTTCCTTGTAGTGAGAAAGAAAAATGAGGCAGAATTCTGAAGCCCTGTCAAATTCTGATGGTTGATGTGTTTCAAATGAGATCCAAAATTATTCACCCTTTAATAGCTAAAGAAGGTTAGGCAGGAGTCCTCCACCATCAAGCCTGTTATTAATAAAGGCAATGTTTGCATTTCTGGATCCTGAAGTGGCAGTGGGGGACAGTCCTATGTGCACAAGCCTGGGGTGACTCGTAAACATCTGCTTCTGGAAGGCACAAAGACAATGCGGGGTACCTAAGGAGGCACTGAGATGCAGTTACTTTTGGTACAGCTGGTGGCCAGAAGGCACGTGGGTAAATTTGGGCAAAAGCAACTCTTTGTATTCTCCCTTTCTCTGACATGGGATAATTTTAATTACTGTGCAAATCACAGCCTTCAGGCTCCACTATCATCTCCAGCAGACCCCCGGGCACTGCAGGAAGCATTACGTATGTCTGCAAGGGGGCAGCACGAGGCCAGATGGTTTCTGCACAGGCAGAAATGAAACTCAAGTGGTGGAGTTATCTCCCTTTAGGTTAAAAGGGACTTTGCAGGATTCCTTAGTCCTTATTTAGCAAATTTGTTTGCTTTGGAGGGAAATACTTGTGACTGATAGTCTCCAGCATGTCTGGCGGTAGTGTGGCAGACTGCAGTGTGCAGCAGTTGTGTGGCCTTCCAGCCCCCGACCAGCATGCTTGGCCCTGTCAGGGGATGCGCTCCGTGTGCTCAACCACCACCACAATTTTAGGGGCTGGGCTGCACCTCGAGCACCCAGTACACAGTCCCACCAGCCAGCTTCCAGGTGCCTGCCCCAGCCATGGGCTGTGGAGTGGCCAGCTCCCCGCAGGAATGGTGCTGGGCTGGGGGCTGGGAGGGATGGAGACCGTGGGTGACACCCTGTCTCAAAGTGTTGCCTGTGAGGACAGGCGCTCCCCAGGGTCACCCAGCTCTCAGGAAAGTCCAAATCCCAGCACCCAACCAGACACAAAGTCTCTCTGAGAGCAGCAGCAGATATACTGTGGTGGGGAGTGAGTGGGGGATGGGGGCACATGGAACGTGGTGGGTTGAGGACACATGTGGGAAGGGGTTCAGGGACACCATAGGGCAAGGAGCACGTGTGGATCACAGGGACACTGCAGAGCAGGATTGTGCATGGGGTGCAGGGACAGCGCAGGGCAGGGAGCATGTGTGGGGCACGTGGACACCATGATGTGGGGCAGAGATGTGCGTGGGGTGTGGGAGTGTGGGGACACCGCAGGTCAGGGGCACGTGTGGAGCGTGAGAACAACGTAGGGCGGGGAGCATGCATGGGGCATATGGACACTGGAGGCCAGGGAGCATGCATGGAGTGGGGGGACATGTGTGGGGCAGGTGACACCATGGGATGGGGTGATGCGTGGGGCAGAGGGGCATGCTTAGGGTGGTAGTGTACATGGGGAGGGGGGTGTGCAAACCCTGTAAAGCGGGGAGTGCATGAGTTGTGCGGGCACCATGGAATGGGGGCGCATGCGTGGCGGGGGGACACCACAGGCTGGGGAGCCCTCGGTCATGGGGACACCATGAGGCAGCAATGTGCGTGGGGCACGGGGACACTTTGGGGCAGGGAGCGCTTGGTTGTGGGGACACCGCGGGTAGGGGATGTGCATGGGGCGTGGGGCCACTGCAGGGCGGGGAGTGTGCGTGGGAGTGCAGGGACACCTTGGGGCATGGCACTCAGTCG